CTACTGGTGATTTCAGAGGACCAGAGACAACAGGGAACCAGTTCAAGAAGCAAAGGCCAAAGGCCCAGATTTTGACCAGAAGTCAAGACAGCTGACTTGTCCTCTGATCGTACTGTGCCTTTGCCCCTGCCTGTTAGCTGTTCCTAATTTAAATATTTACAGAAGATTCTCTCTTCTTAATTTTAAAGCCGTTTGGATTTTGTTAAACCATCATCTAGTAATCATTTAGTAACCTCATATGAACTAAACTTTTATTTTATTATGATCCCCAGTATTTTTGAGGGTCAATGATATATAGAAAATTTTTCTATAGGTAAAAAAGGGTATCTAAGAGAGAAGAGTCTGCAACTCTAGACTACTCCAGAGTTAAAATGACAGAATTAGGAATTGCTTATGGTGTAGCGTCTAATGTCTCCTTCCCTTGTGGCAGGCCAGAGTGGTGCCGGAAACAACTGGGCCAAGGGCCACTACACAGAGGGAGCCGAACTGGTGGACTCAGTCCTGGACGTGGTGAGGAAGGAGTCAGAAAGCTGTGACTGTCTGCAGGGCTTCCAGCTGACCCACTCGCTGGGGGGTGGCACGGGGTCTGGGATGGGCACGCTGCTCATCAGCAAGATCCGGGAGGAGTACCCCGACCGCATCATGAACACCTTCAGCGTGATGCCCTCGCCCAAGGTGTCAGACACGGTGGTCGAGCCCTACAACGCCACCCTCTCCGTGCACCAGCTGGTGGAAAACACAGACGAGACCTACTCCATAGACAACGAGGCCCTGTATGACATCTGCTTCCGCACCCTGAAACTCACCACGCCCACGTACGGAGACCTCAACCACCTGGTGTCGGCCACCATGAGCGGGGTCACCACCTGCCTGCGCTTCCCGGGCCAGCTGAACGCAGACCTGCGCAAGCTGGCCGTGAACATGGTGCCCTTCCCCCGCCTGCACTTCTTCATGCCCGGCTTCGCCCCCCTGACCAGCCGGGGCAGCCAGCAGTACCGCGCCCTGACGGTGCCCGAGCTCACCCAGCAGATGTTCGACTCCAAGAACATGATGGCCGCCTGCGACCCCCGCCACGGCCGCTACCTGACGGTGGCTGCCATCTTCCGAGGCCGCATGTCCATGAAGGAGGTGGACGAGCAGATGCTCAACGTGCAGAACAAGAACAGCAGCTACTTCGTGGAGTGGATCCCCAACAACGTGAAGACGGCCGTGTGCGACATCCCGCCGCGAGGCCTCAAGATGTCCGCCACCTTCATCGGCAACAGCACGGCCATCCAGGAGCTGTTCAAGCGCATCTCGGAGCAGTTCACGGCCATGTTCCGGCGCAAGGCCTTCCTGCACTGGTACACGGGCGAGGGCATGGACGAGATGGAGTTCACCGAGGCCGAGAGCAACATGAACGACCTGGTGTCCGAGTACCAGCAGTACCAGGACGCCACGGCCGACGAACAAGGGGAGTTCGAGGAGGAGGAGGGCGAGGATGAGGCTTAAGAACTCAGATGTTTCGTGCATCCTTAGTGAACTTCTGTTGTCCTCAATCACGCATGGTCTTTCTATTTGTATACTATGGTGCTCAGTTTTGCCCTTGTCAGAAATTCACACTGTTGATGTAATAATGTGGAACTCCTCTAAGAATTACAGTATTGTCTAAGCTATCTATACTAATAAAAAAGCATGTGTCCAAAACCTTGTGGTCTCTTTATTCTTTCATTAATTGCTTCTTAAATATGTTTCCTGGTTTAGTAATTTTAACAAAAGAGGATTTCTAATTTAATGTTTTTAATTGCCTTTCTGCTCTTTTAGTAAAGACGGATAAAAAATCATATTTTTTCATCTTCAGTGGCCCAAAGTATTAAAGTAAAGGAATCCAGTAAATGAGTCCATGAGTGAAGAGGGATTTGAGGACAAAGCATACCTTCCTCCCTTATTTGCTGAAGTTCCAGCAATTCTTGTGAAAATGTAAAACCGAGGACCCTAAGAAAGGACTTTCTTCTGCCTCTCCACTTCTCTTTCAACAATGTGATAAATACAAATAAAAAGACCTCTCAGATAAAAGGTACAGCATAAATTCTGTGTCCTAAAGTAGCAGTCATGAACACTACAGATACTTCACCAAAGATTTATTTGAAAGTAAAACTAATACAAATTTATTTTTTATGACAATGGTAGAAATTCACAACTTAATGTTAAAAACATTAAATTTTTGTAGCTATTAAAGCTAGAGGATGTTTTCACTGTCATTATTCATGCTGGATCAGGAGCAGGTTTGTGGGGAGGTGCAGAAAGCCGGGGTAGGCAGGTGAGCTGAGGTGTGACACGGGTGCGTTGGTTTCAAAGGCAGTGGCAGGGCAAGGAATCAGCAGGTCCCTGCTCTCAAGGACGTCTTCAGTGTAGGAAGTCTTCTGCTAACTTGTTGAATTCATTGGCAAAACGTAAATGCAGGTTGTGCTTGCCTTCTGGCATCAGATGCAACCTAAAGCAAAAGCTCACGATTAATGGCACACCACTGAAAACCTCTTACCTTCCCTCACATTTCCTGAAAATCTAAAGTGAAAAACTCACGTTTTTTCATGACTACCACTGGGGAGACAATGTAAGGTACATAGTGTAAACTTTCCCTGAGTGTAGACTAGAGTGAAAGCCTCTCGGAGTTCGTGACTAACCTGGAGGTTGGCTTCACAGTAACAGAGCCCACACATTCTATTTGGAATTGTACCAGGTAACAAATGGTTTGCCTGTGACCCTGACTGAGAGTGGGGGATGTGATTTGGTGGTTACCTAAAAAAAAAAAAATGCATTTTAATAAGGTTGAATTTAAGAGAGAAGGTTGGGAAGACGATAAAGATACAAAATGTCCAGAATCCACTGGATTGGAACAGGTGAGCTGCTTGGGGCATCTAGGTAGTGGGAAAAGCCAAATCAGAATTCACAGCCACCACCAGCCTGTTGTTCAAGGTTCCAAATCACTCATTTTTGGAGAATTGAATAAGTGTGAATACCAGGCACCTAAGGGCAAGTAAGTGTTGCTCAGGACCGTGAGGGCGGCAGGAGCCAGCATCAGTGACCCTTCGTTTGCAGCTGCCCCCACCGCATGTCTCTTGTGGCAAACCTCACTGTCCTCGTGAGGCAGTTCTTCCTTTAATAGGGTTTTGGTGAAACGTGGCTGGTTGCAATTTCCTTAATGAAGGCAGCCTTCTCTGAGTTGTACATTTTATCAGCTATAAAAGTGCAGAAATAATAAAAGTTTTAAAGCTGGCATATAAGTGTTAGAGCTGTTCTGTCTACAATGGCAATTGGACATTAAAAGGACTATATTGGGGCAAAATGCATTACCTAAATGCCAGTTACCGCGTTGCCTGATTCCCTGATCTTCCCACACCTGGGGCCGAGAACTCTGAGAGCCTCAGTGAGCACTGGGAGGACCTGTGAGGAAAGGGGCTGGGAGAGAGTGGTCCTTGGGTGATGTCAGGCCTCATGCAACTCAGCCACATGAGGGGTGGGGAGGGGGCACGAGAGGATCTACTTGAAAGGAGGATATATGGTCGGCATCTTTCCGAGACCCGTGGGAAAGTTAATAATGCCATTAATAACTAGAACATTCCAAATTCAATTTTAATGCTGTTCAGAAAAGAAGGACGAGCTGCATCGATGCCAGAGATGGTATCCCAGTTGCCCTACACAAGGAATGGGGCTTGCAGGGATGCTTGAGGCCTCTGTGTTTAGGCGACATAAGAGAACCAACTGCCAAGAATGCTGAAAAGTCATAGAAGGCATGCCTAGGCCAAGTTGCATCCCCTAACCTGCCTAAGCTGGATTCTGAAGCAGTGACCCCAGCCTGCCAAACCTGGAGGTCCTCCTTTGTGGACAGCCAAGATGGTTATCACGTTCCTACCCCATTTCTACGATTTGCTCAGATTTGTAGGTAAGGAAGGAGAGACACCAGCTGTGAATTCCCTCTTCTTAGCCTCAGTGCTATCTGCACTCTTCCTATAGTAATCTCTAGTCCTTAGGGAAATAAAAACTAGGTCTCCTTCATTAAAAATATGGGAGACCGGTTCTGCAGCATCTACATTCAGAACTGCACAGGACTCTGGATAGACAGATGGAGGGACAGACAGGTGGATAACGGCACGAAGAAATTGCTCTTCTCCTTGATACCTTTTGGGGGTCATTTCAAGGTCCTTAGTACACCCTCCTCCTTTAGGTCTGTCACAGGATTCACTGTACTTAAAACCTATTGTGTGTTCCTCTCGGGAACGGTACCACACTAGACAGACACATAGCTGTCAAGGCAATGCAGCAGCTCTACTACTGACCTAGATTCTCACCCAAATAACAAAAGAATCTAATCACATGCTCCATAGAGAGTGGTTTTCAATCCCATGTTCCAGGAAAATTAGTAGAAAGCCCCCCACTGCCAAAAACATGGCTCAACCGGAAATGAAGGGGCCCCCGAGAGGCTAAACACAAGTTTCTATTTGCTGGGGCAGGTTCCTTGTTTCGTGTGGCACCTTTAGAAAAAGAGATGTGGTTCTAGATCTTTTGAGGAATTAAAATATGTCTAATCTCACAGTGTAAATTCAGTGGTCACTTTGCCTCTGCTTAATTCACTCCTTCTAGGATGCTCTTTATGGGCGATGTGGTGAGGAGAAATGCTGGCTCCACGATGTTACCTTTCCTTCCTCAGTTTAACCTCTGTAGCTTTCCCTGAGCTGAGAGCTACAGACAGGAACGAGGCCGTAAGTAATGTGCTGTAGCATTTTTACTTCACTTTGGATGTGATAAAAATCTCAATTATTTATGAAGTCTGTGAGCATTTTCGTTCTAATTGAAAACCACAGTAGGCTGCTGGCTCTGTGTACTGGGATCTTCCATGATGGAACTGACAGCAGTGTGGCTAACAGAGAGGCCTGTCCCCTTCAGGCATCCTTCTGAGGCCACCAAGCCTGGTTGCCCAAAACAGCCCTTTTTTAATTCTTTATTCTCTGCTCCTTCTAGAAAGCCCCATCTAAGAAAAATGTAATGATGGATTGGTAGGCCACAATATCCTTCAAGCTGGAAAAGCCGGGGGTTGGAGGGACGGTACATGGCCCCAGAAGCTGCACCCTCTCTCCGCTCAGCCTGAGAGCTGATGAGGCAATTGGGAACCGGGGGAGCAGACCTCTCACCAAGAAGTTCCTTTTCTCAAATGAACCATGTCTCAAGCATTAGAAGGAAACTGCCTCAGAGGCTGCTTTTCGGTAATGCTACAGCTTGGAGTGGACTCCTTCTTGGCTGTCGGGGTCTGCAAGATGGGTGCTTTTAACAAGTGCGTGGAGAAGAAAGCCTTGCCAAACTTGCTGGGACTACAGGCACCTCGTCAGGGCCTTCTGACTGCACTGGAAGCTTTCTTCTGGTCACAGCTGAATGTAACTGGAGATGATATCAGAGTTAAAGGCAGGGACTTGATGGGGTCAAGAGATGTCTGGTTTAACCAGCACCGGACCTATACTAAGTTGTATCATCTCCCTAAGCCACAATTCCTCATCTGGAAAATGTAGATAGTAATAGTATGTACCCCACATTATATTTAGAAGATGAAAAGAGATAATGCATATGAGGTAAACAGCATGGGGTCTTTGGGCATATAGTAAGCACTTAATAAATGTTTGCTATCATTTTATTATTCTATTTATACTGCACTTTACAATGTGCAAAAGTCCCTACGAAGGTTCTAATTATGTACAGCATATTAAGGAAATGCTCCAATGTGGGAGCACAATTTATTTACATTTATTGGCTAACACAGTCAACTCCAATTGGAAGATTCTTACCTTAAGAGAGATTTTACATTAGAAAATGTCATGGGCAAGATTTGTCTGGAAAGGATGAGACCAACTCTCTCTGAAATACAAAGGACTCAGCTTTGGAAGGACTAGTCCAATCCCACCTGGAGTTAGTCCTGTAACTCGACCATCAGGGGGTCTTGAGCTGCTGCAGTCCCTTCAACCACCGCAGCAGGCAGTTAGAGACGAGGAACTAGAAGCAGTACCTGGAGGAGGAGGGCATGGGAGAGGTAGGGAAAGTCACCTGGGGCAGCTAGGAGAGGGGAGCGCACATCCCCCCTGAGGCTGGAGGCAGTCTAGAAGAGGAAGCTGGGGCAGCCGGCCCTCCTTTAGTGTCCACCGACACCCTGGAACCTCGCTCCCTTCTCTACAGGGCTGAAAAGGAACCTCTGTCACAGCACCAGTCTTTTTCACTAGGTCAATTCACTTCACTCCTGCGTGTGGTGCGGCTCCTGGGCCTGCCGTGGAGGTCTGGGGCCATCTTACCTCTGGTGGCCACATGTGAAAAGCCCGGGAAGCTGCAGAGAGAGGCCTTCCTCCCTCTGTGGTTCAGACAGAGGACAGCATCTAGGCCACGACCTGGACAGCCCAGGCACGCCCCTCACTACCAGACCACAAGGCCACAGCCATGAGGAGAGCAGGCCATGCCTGTGCCCTCCCCATTGTGATGGGTGGTTTTATGTGTCAACCTGACTAGGCCAGAGGTGCCCAAACATTTGGTCAAACATTACCCTAAGTGTTTCTGTGAGCATGTTTTTGGGTGAGATTAACATTTAAATCAGTAGACTGAGTAAAGCAGACTGCCCTCCCTACTGCGGGTGGGCCTCTTCCAGTCAGCTGAAGGCCTGAACAGAACAGAAAGACCTGCTCCCCTGAGCAGGAGAGAATTCCTCCCCTTGACTGCCTTTCAACTGGGACATGGGCTTTTTCCTGCCTTCAGGCTCAAACTGAAACATCGATTCTTTCTGGTTCTCAGACTTGCAGAGCCAGAATGGAACTATACCATCAGCTCTCCTGGGTCTCCAGCTCGCCAGCTGCAGATCTTGGACTTCTCAGCCTCTGTAATTGCACAAGCCAATGCCTTACTCCTTATAGTATCAGACTCTCTCTATATATATGCGTGTGTTTGTGTGTGTGTGTGTGTACTGCTGAAAGTTGAGACAGAGGGCAATGTGCCTCTGACCTACTCTCAAGCTACACCCTAGCTGTGTCCTGGGCCCCTGATCACCTACACCCACACCAGCATTCCATCCACACAAGGCAGCTACCGTGTGCTGAGCTCTTATGAAGTTTTAAATGTACACATACGTCCTCATTCATTTACCGCCAAAAATATCTTGAGATGATAGGTATTATCATCCCCATTTTACACACAAAGTAACAGAGGTACAGAAATATAAGTGCACTGCTTAAGGTCACAGTTAGTGACAGAGCCAGCACTCAAACTCGGGTCCGTCTGAATCCCTGCCGGTGCTCTTCACCACCAGCACTATGGATGTTGCTCAGGAACCCAAAATATGGATTCTGGTCTCCAGCCAGGCAAGACTCCATTTCCCACCTCTCCCCTTTAGCTGACAATGATCCCAAGGCGCCAACTCTTTGCACAGATGGACTTTACCCCTTGTTCTTTCCCACCCAGTGTGCTCTCTGGCCCTGGCGCCAAGACATGCAGTTGGAGTCCGCACCACACTTTCTGGGCCTGAGTCACCAGTCAATGACCCCTGCCCATCACAGAGACCCGACCCGTGTGCCTCTGTTGCTCTCACATTCTCTTTCCTGCAACACCCTGGGATAGGTGTCGGCATGCTCAACAGGAGGAAAATTAAATTCACATGCTAACAGCTGTTAACAAGGTATAAATAAGGAGCTGCATGGCCTTAGACAGATGAGTAATTGGAGGAGGAGGGAACATCTGAGTTGCCACTTGCAGGATAAGCACACTTGACCAGGCAGAGGAAGCGGGTGAGGGATGGAAAGGGATTCCAGGCAAGGTGCTAGTCATTTGCAGCTGGGTCTGAAACCCAGATCCTGACCTCTGCTGGGCCTCCAACTCCTGAGATCTGAGTACCTCCTCAGAAACATACTGTTATGGGCTGAATCATGTTCCCCCAAAATTTGTATGTTGAAGTCCTAACCCCTAGTACCTCAGAGTGTGACCTCATTTGGATGAAAGGTCTTTAAAGAGGTAATTAAGCTAAAATGAGGTCATATGGGTGAGCCCTAATCCAATATGACTGGTGTCCTTATGAGAAAAGGGGATTACGACACAGACACACAGAGGGATGACCACGTGAGGACAAAGGGAGAAGATGACCATCTACAAGCCAAGGAAAGAGGCCTCAGAAGAAATCAGGCCTGCCAACACCTTCATCTTGGTCTTCTTATCTCCAGAAATGTGAGAAAATAAGTTTCTATTATTTAAGCCCCCAATCGGTGGTATTTGTTACAGCCGCCCTAGCAGACTAATATACAGAGTGAGCACACATGCGGCTCAACTAGCTGTGTAGTCACATCCTCTTGTGAGCTGGCTCAGTCCCACGGCCTCCTGGGGCCCGGCCTCCCCGACCCCACAGGGTCTGCTGGGTGCCAACCTCTGCTCCGCGCAAATTCTCTGAAAACGAGGTGGGGCTGGCCTCATGGGTGATGCAAGTCTGGCACAGGAGACACTCAAGCAGAAGCTGGCTGGCCAGGCGGGAGGGGAGCGACATCAGTGCTTTCCAGGCTGGGAGGGAGGGCTGGACAAGCAGGGCATGCACGGGGGAGGGTCTGCTCCCATCCCTGCTGTAATCAGTGCAGCTCTTATGTTTTTTTTTTTTTTGTCTTCCCCAAAGCCCCAGTAGATAGTTGTCTGTCATAGCTGCACATCCTTCTAGTTGCTGTATGTGGGACACGCCCTCAGCATGGCCGGAGAAGCGGTGCCTCGGTGCACGCCCAGGATCCGAACCCGGGCTGCCAGCAGTGGAGCGCGCGCACTTAACCGCTAAGCCACGGGGCCGGCCCATTATTTTATGTTTTTTATCTTGGGCTTCTGCATAGGGGTTTGTTAGGAGGAAGGGTTCAACTGCCTAAAAACATTTTAAAACCACTGAACTTGAGTGATCTCAAAGGCTTCTTTGCTTCCAAGAGATTCTATCACCTTCTCCCACAGAGAGAGAAAAGAGAGACAAATTAACATAAGCTAGAAGCAGCAGGCCTGCTGAACAACCCCACCCTTCAGAAAGGCATATGTTTCATACATGGTCTCTATTTGCTGGTAAAATCTTTGAAGGGATAGACTGTGTCTTTAAGTTGAATTATAAATGTACCTGGCTAGGTAATGAAATATCAAGTTCACTGGAAGCTTGCTACACTCTGAGTCGCTTTCCTGTTGTCAAGTGGCCTAGTGTGCAAAATCACAGTAGGACTTTGGTGCTCAAGGAATCCACCTTCCTTTTGTGGGGTAAAAAATAAACCACCTGTGTTCTAGGTAGGTTCATGCCCAACATAAAGGGCTGTTTTAACAGAAGAAGGCAGTAGGTGTAAAATGTAAGCCAGTTTTAGACAATCATTGCTGATAACACTTTACCTTCAACTCATTTGTTCCAAAGAATATTGCTCTAAGAAAACGATCTTCCATAAAATAGTCTACTGGAACAATTAACATCTGAATGCTGAGGGAGTATATTTCTCCCATATTGATGTATTCTGTTGCTAGGATATGGGTTTGGAACAGAATTCCTAAATTAAACTTTCTTGCAAACTGATTTTTATTGAACCTGGCTTGCTAAGGAAACACACTGCATTTACCAAGAGCATCAGTGTGCAAAAGCGTGTCATTTCTGAAGCTAGAAGACAATTAACCAGGTCAGCTAGTATATAATCCAGGCATCTTACCATCACGTTAAAATAAGAGTATGTTTATGAAAGGCAGCTGTGCTGCTCGGGAAAAGCAGTATATTAGGAGGAAAAACATCTCAGGTTTGTCATGTACTAGCTATGCAACCTTGGAAGATTACTTAACATCTCTCTGCTTTGATTTTTCTCATCTGTAAATTGGGGACAATATTTTTTCATAAGTTTGTTGTGAAGTATGCCTTTTAAAATATAAAATGTCATATGGATATAGAAATCATACAGGTTTACAGTAATCATATTTTATTGTAGAATAAGAAGCATGTCCCCCACATTTAAAGATTTTCTGAGAAATCTGTTTGTTAAAATGTGTCATGGGATAGTATGACTAGGAAGTAGTGGAACTGTGTCTGCGTCTGCTTTCCCCGCTGCATTGTGGGAGCTCTCAGGACAGGGAACCACTACTAACCATGCAGGGCAGTGCTGGCCCAAAGTAGGCATCAGAAATTGGCTCACGGAGGCAAAAGAGGAAAGGAGGAAGTGAGAAGGAGGGAAGGGGAGAGGGAGAGAGGGTTTTCTTAAGTTGCTAATAAAGCCAATTTCAAAAGAATCATAGAATTCCAGATGTCCTGAGTAATGATAGCATCCCTGGAATTAATATATAGTCTCTGAAGAGGTCAAGGCTCACTTGGATGTTTATTTTCCAGTATGTTTGTTAAAAAAACAATCAGGCCACTATCTCCTGGTCACACCTCATTTTCTTCTTCAGGATATGCACCCATTGCATATGAAGGAAATACTGAATTTATTCAACTTTGAATTTTCGTCTTGATATAAATACCAGCAAAACCTAGCTCCTGTGTCAGCTAAAGTATTTAACATACAACTTTCTATTCTATACAAAAATGTATGGGACTGAAGAACAGAATTTCTGCTGACATGTCTTATAAGGTTCTCCAATGTCCAAGGCTGGTTGGCAGAAACAAGAATGCAAAGAACAAGGAATGAGTATCTGCTATTTAATCAAGTAGGCCACCAACATGGCTTGGTATATGTTGCTATTTTGTGATTCTGAATAACAGGTTTCTCATCTGGTGTGTACATATTTAAGGCTGAAATAACATGAGAAGTTTACAACATAATTTTAAGTGGAAAAAAAGCAGCAATCAGAGTTGAATATAGACTATGATTATATTTATGTTAAAAAATATTAGAAAGGAGAAATAAAAAATGCTATTAACAAAAGTATTGAAATGGGTGGCAAGCAATGGGCAATTTGTTTTCTTCTTTTGCAGATTTTCTTCACTGGGTACGTAGTGCTTTTATGACAAACTAATCTGAAAATTCCCGAATTATATAACATTGTTTAGTTAACAGTGATCCCTATAAATCTAAACCGTCACCAGTGTTACAGAACTTGGTGCCTATTAGCACCTTTGCCTTCACAGCAACGATAAGAGATATTTTTCTCAAGATTTCTTTCCTCCCGATTATTGGTTACCCACAAATCAGGGCTCCTTGTGCTACGTATTTTGCTAGTACCTTAAATACAGCAGTGCTATTTATTGACATAGGCAAAATGGGGCGGGGGTACACCTTAAAGAACTCCAGCCTTCATGTTTCTTTCCCTTATAAAGCTTCTCCCATTTACCTCCAAAGCCTTGAGGTCCAGGGTGCTGGAGCGGACACTGGACTTACCTCGACCCTCTCACGTGTTTGTGTATAAAGTCAGCGTGGAATCGTGGGACCAGGGGATCCTTTTCCCCGTGCACAATTAGGGTGGGGCACTGAACCAGGGGCAGCAGGTGCCGACAGATATTACCTGAAAGACAAAGAGCACGGAGAACCTGCTTTAATGTGCCCACCCTGCAAGGTGAGGAGGAGAAGAGGCCGAGGGCGCGATGAGTCACGCCTCTCTGTGGACTTCAGTGTCCCGTCTGTAAAAGAAGTGGTTTAGATTAGTTGGGGTCTGAGGGGGCTTCCAGCTCTAACATTCTTTGGGTTTCCTTTTCCATTTCTCTGCTGTTTTTTTCTTTTAAAGCTCTACTAGTAAACAAGCAGTTTTTCCTGATTTAAATTCATAATTCACGTAAAATAGAAAAAACAAACAAAACCCCACAATTCTTTACAATACAGAGGCAGTTTCCAGTTTGCAAAATGATGGTAGATGCTTGGCTTCTAAACAGCTTTTCCCATGAAATAAAGACTTAAATGGCCCTTGGAGTCCCAGCTAGTCCTCAAAGCTTATAGAGCTCACAATGAAGTCACAATTTACACATGGTAAATAAGCTTCTCTTCACCCTCCTGCCTCCACGACACTTTTGAGAGATTATAAGGCCCTCACCCCCCTTTATCACAACATTTCTAAGACAAATCTGATACAACCTGGGCTCCAGTTCCTGTCCTACCATCTCCTGCCTGTGAAGTCTTGGTGGTTCCTTAACCACTGTGAGCTTCAGGCCTCCTCCTCGGTCCAAAAGGAATAATCACAGTTCCCTGGAGTGGCCATGAGGCTAAAAAGAGATGCCCTAGCTAAGGTTCCTGGCACCCAGCAGGTTCTCCATTAAGCGAGCTCCTTCCTTCTCCTCCTCCTCCCCCTTCCTTGGCCTGTGTCAAGGAGACAGCGCTGTAGCTCTGAGAAAGGGGCCCCAGCCAGGCACCTGGCCTCTGCCCTTCTCTTCAGTTGGGGGTCACTGTCTGCTACACGAGAAGGTGATGCGTTGACCAGGGAAATACTTCTCTAGGTCTCTGAAGCTTCCCTCTCCCGTCCACTATGACAGAGCGCCCACTATGAGTCAGGAACTGTTCAAATGATTTAATACTCATAAAACATTTACAGTAGTTATACGTGTTAACTCATTTTGTATGTACAATTATTTGTAAATCAAGCGCTTTTATAATACTAACAATAGAGGCTGGCCCATGGCGTAGCGGTTAAGCTCACGCATTCCACTTCGGGGACCTAGGGTTTGCCGGTTCAGATCCTGGGCATGGACCTACTCACCGCTCATCAAGCCATGCTGAGGTGGCATCCCATACAGAAGAGCTACAACTCTACAACTAGGATACACAACTATGTACCCGGGCTTTGGGGAGAAAAAAAAAAAGAGGAAGATTGGCAACAGATGTTAGTGCAGGGCCAATCTTCCTCAAAAAAAAAAAATACTAACAATAACCTTTTATTAAGCACTTACTCTGTACTTGGTACTGAACCAAAGCTAAACATATACAATCTCATTCAATCCGCATGATGCCTTTATGAGGCAGTTGTTAGTATCTTCAGTTCACAGACAGGAAACTGCAGCTTAGAGAAGCGAAGGCCTCTGCCCCAATCCATTCTAAATAGCAAGCCGAGTGGCAAAGCCAGAATCACACTGGACCTGTGTGACTCCAAGTCTGTGCAATTAATCCTTATGCTAAAGTGAGCACTCATAAACTTAGTGTACAATTATGAAAAAGGGCTCCTGTCAAATTAATTAGTACAGAAGGGAGATAAGTAGTTCACAACAGTCTCACTGTAAGATGATTTATACACTGCTAGATCCTCTATATTATGACATTTTTCCCTCCCTTTTTTTAAATAGACTTTAATTTTTAGAGTTTTAGGTTTACAGCAAAATTGAGCAGAAGGTACAGAGAGTTCCCATATACCCCCAGTCCCCCCCCCCACAGCCTCCCCCACTATCAACATCCCCACCACAGTAGTACCTTTTTACAATTGATGAGCCTACACTGACACATCATCGTCACCCAAAGTCCATAATTTTCCTTAGGGTTCACTCTTGGTTTTGTACATTCTACAGGTTTGGACAAATGTATGATGACAGGTATCTACCACTAGGGTATCACACAGAGCATTTGCACTGCCCCACAGACCCTCTGTTGGGTTTCTAATAGGTGAGTAGTGGCGTCTCACTGTTGTTTGGACCATCTTTTAGTCTGGTGGTTTGTTTTCCTACAGTTCATTTTGTATATATGGATAACAGTCCTTTATCAGATATGTCTTCTGCAAACATTTTCTCGTAGTCTGTGGCTCTTGAAAGTGTCTTTTGAAGAGCAGAAGTTCTTAATCTTAATGAATAGAGAACACATTTTTGAACTGCTGATTTCATTCTGCTATCTTTGAATCTTCCTACCTTTCCACTGCTCTCTTCAAGAAGCATAAAAGTTTACATTTCACAACTTTGCCTTCTTCAATGGAGAACTGCCTCACACATTGTTTTATGGCATTTTTTATTTTAAAAGCTGAGGGAAACACATTTCAAGGACCTGTTTCTATGGGTGGATACTGCATTTGAACAGGATATATTTGCTTTTTGAACTTAAACCAAAAAAGTAACATTTCCAAGTGTCCTTTTCATTGTGAAAGTTCTGATGGATGATTCATTCTGGAAATGATTACCTAATAGCTCAAACTAGTCCTTCAATCACAACCAGTTTGTAACTGAGTGTGCTCCAGGATTAGATCTTAGCTCCTCTCTATTCTTTCAGCAATTACAAAAATGTAATAGTGATATAAAAATAGATTTTAATTCAGAGTTTCTCTCAAAGATGTCAATTCTTACTGATTAGAACTTGTGTTAATTTTTCAGATAAAGACAGGGAGACATCTGTTATGGCTAAAGTCATATAACTTAGCTCTGAAGATGGGAAAAGAACTTAATACACTCTTCCTCATACTATTTCTGCTGGGGCTAAAGGTCATGACAGAAAGTACCTCCCTTTTTGTCCTGCTAACAGAGGATGTAGTGGAGAAACACGTCTAAACGTACAAAAAGGAAAAAATAAGGTCTATGTTGCACCTCGTTTGTTTTCTAATTACTCATCCTGGAATTTAGAAAATAAAGACTCTTTGAGGCTTCTGGAGAATTATTTTGTCATCACACACGAAGGCTTAGAAGGAAAAAAGAATAGTCTGCTACTAAAGACTCAACAATATGAACCTTTATACACAATTTGTCTCTGGGTGAAGGTGGATTTGTTACCCAAGACCTCGTGTTGTATGCCCTCACTCGTGTCCTCTGTGCACACACTGGCCAGCAGTCAGGACAGTGGGTGAACGCACTAATGCCTGAGCAATTCTGGAACACGAGGAGGGGGCTCAGGCAGCCTCTCTGATCAGCAAAGGAGCCGAGAAACAGTTCACGTAACCTACCGTCTGGGAGATGTTTAAACTGATTTATGCCATCCACCCACTTTTCACAGGTTTTGGCAAAGTAGTCACACCCATACAGGGCTTCTAGAGGCTTTCTTGTCCTCGCGCTCCATTTAGAAACATCTCGGATGCCTGAAAGAGAAGTGTGGAGAAGAGTGGGCTTAGGCTCCTTTTAGTGAGATATTCCACAGAGGTGAGCACAGTCTGCCTCCGAGCCACAGCGTCTGCCGCCCTGCCTGCGGGAGTGCTTGCCCCAGGCCTGCACACCGCCGCCTCCTCACTTCACCCGGGTTGGGAGGCATCCCTGACCACCCTCCCTCCACCTGCTCTGCTCAGCACTCACCACTACTTGGCAGTGTTGTCTAGGTCCAGGGCTGAGTGTCTGTCGCCCCCTGGGAAGAAGCTCCAGGCTAAGGGACTTTGCTCTGTCTTGTTCCCCACTGCAGCCCCGGACCTAGACGGCGCCTGCACAAACCAAGCACACGATAAAGGCTTACCAAGCAACTGAGACTAGATCTGCATTTCATGCTTCTGTTAAAGGTACAAGATAACGGAAGACATTCCTACTTAGGGTCACCTGAGTTAAGAGTGACATTACTTACCAAAGAAGGGTTTTTTCCTGAATTGCATTTATGTACATTGAGAAAGGCACACAAATTATTCTAATTTCTGCTACTGAAGAAATATGGGTGTAAAAGGCTAACTACTAACTTCAAACTATGTTGCAGATGATTCACTATTAGGAAAGGAAATAACAGCTAAAAACCACCTTTAAAATGAATAAACACATTCCATTACTTTTCCCAATCTTTTCCATATTTCTTTAAACATACAGAGATGAAGACTCTAATGCTCCTGAGCATATTAAATATTGCTCATCTAGAGCTTTGAATGCCACACTTCTGCTACACACTGCACCTTAAAGATCACATGACACTAATGGTGGGAATTCACACTGAGCAGTAACCTATACGGCACTCCAGACAGGGCCAGGCAACTAGCAGGCACCCAGTATATACTTGGTGAACAGAAATAATGGAATGGAGGAAAATATGCTGTTTACAACTACAAATGCCTTCTAAAGAGGGTAGATCCTGCTACAGACAGTGCCTGCCTTTTCTTCTGCTGACTGGTTTAAATCCGCAGAGGGAAGCCCAAGGTTGAATACAGAGGCTGAGGAGAGCTGAACTGCTATGCACATAAGTAAAAAGACTTCAGAGAGGGGTGTACTGAAGAAGTCTGAAAATTACGAGACGGGGAGGAGATTTGGGAACAAGAAAAAGGAGAGCAGGAAGAGGGGGAAATGGAGAGGAGTTAGCAAGAGGTCGTGAAGATGGGCAGTAAAAAGTGCCATGTATATACTTCTACTTTTGGCCGTATAGTAGACCACACCCTCTGAAAGGTCCTCCTGCAGTGGAACAACTAGATCTTTCATAAAATACAATTTTTGTTACATTGTTAGAACTGCAGTAATTAATGGAAACTAGAGTATGAATGTGTGTGAATATATATATGTATATATGGCACGTATATATATGGCAATATATGGCACGTGTGTGTAAGAGAATGGGAACCCTGAAAATAGAGCAAAGAGTGGTGAGGCTACTCAGAAGGCACGATTTGCTTTGCAGGAAATGTAACTATTAGTTGGGTGGGCGGGTAGAGCTGAACCGGAGATTCCTGAATTAAGCTGAGATATCACTGGCACCCACCTGGGATTATCCGGTGGTTCCCAAGAGCAGCAAATGCAAATCCTCTGTTAAGAGTAAGCAAACATTCACTCCTGATTGGAGACCACAAAACAATCAGAATCTTTATAAAGCTCATGAAAAGCCTAGAAAATTGGAGGAGAAAGCTTAAGAAATTATGCAGAACAAGCACTACACAGAGAGACAAGAAGATGAACGAGAGACAGGGAAGACGGAAAGAAAAGGTCTACAAGTCCAACCAGTCCCAGAGGAAGGAGAGGACGAGGAGATGGAGGAGGTGCAACATTTGAAGAAATAACAGGCGAGAACATTTTCCAGAACTGATAAAAGATAAGAATCCAAGGACAAAAATCAAATGTATTCCAAACAGGATAAATAAAAAGAAATCCATACTTAGAATAGTAAAAGAGCAATATATCAAAGAAAAAAAGCTCTAAAAAAACAGAGAGATAAGACACATCACTTCAAAGTAAGAAAAATCAGACTGACAGAACTGCTCAACAGCAAGTAAGGCAGGCAGAACACAGCAGAATAAGAGAGAAAATAATTTTCCAGTTATATTTCTGTACTTAGCCAAATGATCTTTCAAGAATGAGAGTGAAATAAAGATATTTTTAGATAAAAACTGAGTTGACTATTAACAGACCTGCCCTTAAAGAAACTTCTAAAAAATAACTTCAGGAAGGGGCCAGCCTGGTCTTGTAGTGGTTAAGTTTGCGTGCTCTGCTTTGGTGGCCCTGGAGTTCGAGGGTTTGGATCCCAGACGTGGACCTATCACCGCTCGTCAAGCCATCCTGTGGCAGGATCCCACATCCAAAATAGAGGAAGACTGGAACAGATGTTAGCTCAGCGACAATCTTCCTCAAGCCAAAAGAGTAGGATTGGCAACAGCTGTTAGCTCAGGGCCAATCTTCCTCACCAAAAAAATAAATAAATAACTTCAGGAAAAAGATAAATGATCTTAGAAGGAATATCTTAGATGAAGGAAGAAAAGGTGGGTAAAGAAACTGACAAACACGTTGGTAAATGTAAAAACAAATAAACAAATAAAACTCGCCAAGATAATGAGAAAAGAAAACACTGTAACATTTCCTTACATTAAAATTAGTTCTGTCCATAAAGAAAGCATAAGCTGTTCAATACAACTACTAACACAATTACTAACCAGCAAGGGGTTACTGATCAGATTATCAGCAAACAAAAAACAAAAAGCCCTGCAAATCAACAACATTGCAATAATATTGGAAGTGTTCCAGTCATGAGAGTCCTGGGGTGTTTGTTCTGTTGTTACACTTCACAAGTAGGAACTGTTAAACATATTGTACTATATGTATCAAATATTACATAACAAAAATTTTAAATCAATGAAAAGACATGAATAGGTACAACACAGAATAAGAAACCCCAGTGGTGCAAAAACACATAAAAAGATTCTCAATCTTATCAGTAACAGGAAAATGCAAATTAGGACCCTCAACAAGATACTGTTTTACACCCATTTGACTGGCTAGAATTAAGACGTCTGATGATTCCAAGTTTTTGTTGAGGATGTAAGTTAAGGAATCTCATACATTGCTGGTGGAAGTGAAAATTTATTTAGCTAGAAAACAGTCTGTCACTTGTAACGTGGTATACTTGCATAACAAAATCTCAGCAATTTCACGTATGGGCATATGCTCTAGAGAGACTCTGATGCTCATATGACCCAGAGGAATGTACCAGAAATGTTCAGAGCAACACTGGAAATAGACCTACTGTCCGTTGATAAAAGAAAGGGAAAATAAAATGTGACATGTTTGCCCAATGGAATATGAGATAGCAGTATCAGGAATGAATCTTAGAAATGTAATGTTCAGTGAAAAAATGAGACATAGAAGACAATCTACAGTATGAAATCACTTGGTATAGCTCAAAAACAAAAATAAATTATAAATTGTTTAGGAATATAGACATTTGTGACAAACGTGTTTTCAAAAAGGCACAGGGATGATAGCAGGACGCAGGCTGCAGGTAGGGGTGCACTGGGGAGGAAGCCCATGGACACAGCGAGGGAGGCAAGAGCAATCTACATGCGTTCCATGGTGGGTCCACAGGTGTCGTAATTCATACATGTCATGTGTGCTGCATTATATATATAAATGTCATACAATTAAATAAAAATGTAATTATAAAATAATAAATTTAAATAAAACATTATATAATGATAAAATAAATTTTTAAAATATATTTAATATATATCATATAATATAAATATAATATATATATTTAATTTATAAGATATAAAATATTTATATTAAACATTTAATGTTTAATTTATATATTTAATTTATTATTAGTATTATATTAATATTAATGGTATAACATATAATACAAATGTAATATTTTCAATTTATATATTTCATACAATAAGAAAAGTCCCCTGTAATAGGAAGGCCAAGACCTTTTAAGAATTAAGTTGGCTAACGTTCAGTGTGAAAATATTTTTCTTGCAAAAATGTAAATTCCTCTTCTTGGGACAGCAAGAGATCCTTCAAATGAATTAACTCTGCAAAAGCTGGCATTTGGAGTGAGAGGTATCTATGGGAATGCAAAATCTGGGGCAAGACTTTAGACTCCCACGGAAAACACCTACATCTCAAGGCTCAGGGAAATCCAGCTATAGCTGGGGCATGTCAGATGTTCATATCAAGCACTGTGGTCAGGCACACAGGCTTGGAAGTCATACTGACTGGGTCTGAATCCCAGCTCTTGCATTTGCTAGCTCTGTGACCCTGAGCAAGTTCCTTAACCTCTCTGTGCTAGTTTCCTCATCTGAAAAATGAGAATTATAACAACACTCTAAGATAAAGAGTAAATAAGTTAGACATGAAATGTGCTAACAACAGTGGCTGGCATATAACATGCACTCAAAAATATTCTATGTATTTATATATTGACTTTTAGTTAATTTATTCAAGAGGAAGCCAGTTTTACCCCAAAGCATAATTTCCACCAAAAAATAAGAATAATTATGTTTCACAGTTCAGTTTCTAAAATAACCATTTGAATCAAACTGTTTGCTGATCCAAAACAGAACTAATTTGTATCCCAAAAGAAACTGATTTATTTCTTTTTTGAGCATATAATTTGTGCTGAGCACTAGAATCGTAATGAAGAAAATTCATTCACTCATCATTAATTAGTGAATTAGTCCCGGTAAAATGTAGTTGAAGCCTGCTGTGAGTCAGTCAGACACAGACCGGAAGGAGACGTGGTCTCTGCCCTCAGGGCCTCATCGTCCAGTGGAGAACTTGTCAACAAGCACTGCAGAGGGTAGTGAGCGTAGCGGGAG